TCTGTAAAACTGCTTCCTTGGGGGCTGGAGAGACGGCTCAGTGGTTAAGAGCACTGACTGCTCTTGCAGAGGACCTGGGTTTGATTCCCAGCACCCACATTGCATCTACGAACCATCCTTAATTCCAGTTCCGGGGGAATCAGAAGCCCTCTTCTGACCTCCCGGCATTGCACGACAGGGGTACACTCACATACATGCAGGCAATACACTCATACACATAAAATAAAAATAATAAATAAAATATTTAAAAATATATTTTATTATTTTTATTTTATGTGTATGAGTGTATTGCCTGCATGTGTAAAGTGCACCCGTGTCATGGAGTGCCCCCAGAGGTCAGAAGAGTCTAGATTGTAGCAAGTGGCCTACAACCACTGTAACTTCAGCTCAGGGGATCCAACCTCCTCTTCTGCCCTCTGTGAGCAACTGCACTCAGGCACAAATCTACACACAGGCACAAAATTTAAAGAAACTTTTTTTAAAAAAATTAAAATGAATGTCTGGGCATGGTGGTGCAGGCCTTTAGTCCCAGCACTCTGGAGGCAGAGGTAGGTGGATCTCTGTGAGATCTAGGCCAGCCTGGTCTACATAGTGAGTCCCAGGCCAGCTGGGACTACAGAGAGACCCTGTCTCAAAATAAAATGACCCTCCCAAAGAACCCCAAATATGCAAGAATGTGTGTGCGTGTCTATGTGTGTGTGTTCTGGATGCAGGGCATGCATGTAAAGGTCAGAGGATGATTATAGGAGTTGGTTCTCTCCTACCATGTGGGTTCTGGGGAATCAAACTCAGGAAGTCAAGCTTCCTGGCAATCTCCCTTACCTGCTGAGCGTTCAAGCCAGCCTACCACTTCCATTTTTTAAAAATCTGGGTTGTGAATGTTTGTAGCTCAGTGGTTGTGCCTGTGCCTAGCACACATGAGGCCCTGGTTCCATCTCCAGTACCTCACCCTCCCAAGAAAAAGCACCTCTTTTTGTTGGCAGTGATATTTTATTTTTCTGAGGGACAGGACTTATATACAGCAGTGACTGGGGGCCCCTCACTCCACAAGGGGCTTGGGTGGGGAGTGGAGGTATTGGCAGAAGGCACACAGTGGTAGTGGCCCCAGGAGGCCAGGAAGTAAACGTGGAGGGTGTAGTGTGTCCTGGGAAACCCAGAGAGAAAACTGAGGCTCAGCTAGAACCTCAGGCCACACAGCAAGTTGTGAGGCAGCTGGTCCCAAGAGCTTGTGCTGGTCACTTGGGGCTGCGTAGCTACAGCAGGACACAGGGGCAGCCCCCTCCCTTCTTCCTGGGGGCACTGGGTGGGCTGGGTGGGAGTTCCTGCTCCTGAAATTTCCTGTAGGAACAGGTCTGTGAGTGTGGGATAGAGGGCTGGGAACCCAGAGGATAGGAAGAGGGAGTTGGCTCACCTGACAGCCCGCACCAACTGCTCAAAGGCCTCGTCCACATTCAGACGCAGTTTAGCTGAGGCTTCGAAGTAAGCCACGTGGTGGGAGGCGCTGAAAGAGGATGCTTCAGACCGGAGGACCTGGGAGGGAGGGGGGAAACAGGAGGAGTCAGAGCCAGGGAGACAGACAGGCACAAGGTGTGCTCTAGTGTGCAACCTCCTGCGGTAGCTTGACAGCAAGTTCTAGAAAGGCTCGTGGAGGAGGTGTGGGGGGTTTTGAAGCCGTCTAAAGGAGGAATCAGGAAAATTCTGTAGTTGCCTTAGGTAACTAGAAGGCAGGGTGTTCAAGAGAGGAGGGACACAGCTCAGCTACTGGACATCATAAGGTGTTAGGCTAAAGACAGGAGGTGTGGCTTTAGCAGTAGAGCCTCTGTCTAGACTCCCCCAGTGAGGGGCTAGGGTGTGGCTCAGTGGTAGACCCCTGCCTAGACTCCCCCCCAGTGAGGGCCTGGGGTATGGCACAGTGGTAGAGCCCCTGCCTAGAGTCCCCAGTGAGGGGCTGGGGTGTGGCTCAGTGGTAGACCCCTGCCTAGACTCCCCCCCAGTGAGGGCCTGGGGTATGGCACAGTGGTAGAGCCCCTGCCTAGAGTCCCCAGTGAGGGGCTTGGGTGTGGCTCAGTGGTAGACCCCTGCCTAGGATCCCCCCAGTGAGGGACTGGGGTGTGGTTCAGTGGTGGAGCCCCTGCCTAGAATCCCCCAGTGAGGGGCTGGGGTGTGTCTCAGTGATAGAGCCCTGCCTAGACTCGTGAGGGGCTGGGGTGTTATGGCTCAGGGGTAGATGATCCTACTTGGGGGTCACATTCAGGTTAAAGTTATGACAGAGGTAGTGGGATCTACAGCTCCAGAGGTTCTCAGAAGGGAGCCTCCTAGATGCAGACGGGGGCATCACAAACCTGCCGCTGTGTTTCTAGATCTGCCTTGTTCCCAACCAACACAACCGGGAAGTCGTCACGGTCCTTGACTCTGAGGATCTGGGTGAAGAGCTTGCCTATCTCATTGAAACTGCAAAAGAAACCAGAGGCGTGAAGTGGGCATCTGGGCAGGAGCCTCTCCTGTGCTCGGCCAGGACCTGCAGCAAGCCCCTCACCTCTGCCGGTCATTGATGGCAAACACCAGCAGGAAGCCATGGCCTGCACGCATGTACTGCTCCCGCATGGCGCCAAATTCCTCTTGGCCTGCAGTGTCCAAGACTGTGAAGACAGACAGAGAGAGATGCTGGGTGCCAAGTTCCCCTGGCCACGCCACAAGCCCCCCTCAGCACTGCTGCCTGCCTCCCATCCAAGCCCAGCTGTTCTCACTGTCCAAGCGTGCAGGGATGCCATCCACTGTGCAGATCTTTGTGTAAGAATCCTCGATGGTGGGGTCGTAGTCAGATACGAAGTAGGACTGGTTAGCAGAGAAAGACCATGGTCACCAAAGCACCCTGGGTATGGGGAAGCCCTGCCCTAGTCTCCCTTGCTTTGTCCTCTCCCTGTCTCTGTCCCTGTGTCTCTCTAGGTCTCTGTCCCCCCTGAGGTCTCTGGATCTCTCTCTCTCTCTCTCTCTCTCTCTCTCTCTCTCTCTCTGGGTCTCTGTTCCCATCTGTTCTTCTCTCTCTCTGGGTCTGTTTCTCTCTCTGTCTCTGTCCCCATCTCTGGAGTCTCTGTCACTCCCCATTATTCTGAGTCTCCCTGTTCTCTTTAGTATAGAGCATCCCTCTTTATCAGGCTACACACCGTGGCTGTGTGACTTTGAACAAATCGCTTTCCCTCGGTAAGCCTCAGTTTCCTCACTTTGAGAATGAGAATGCTAACCCTGCACCATGAGACTAGAGGTTTGTGATTTTTTTTTTGTCTTTTTTTGAGACAGGGTCTCCTTGTAGCCCCAGCTGTCCTGGAACTCACTATGTAGACCAGGCTGTCCTGGAACTCACAGAGATCCGCCTGCCTCTGCATCCTAAGTGCTGGGATTAAAGGTGTGTACTACCACACTCGTTTGTGATTTTATGAAAATTCCCTGTTCACGAGCACATGGCCTGAGGATGGTCAGCGATCAGGCTTTGGGAACCCTCGCTGACCAAAGCAGCAGCCTGTCTTCCAGTCCCGCAGTCTTCTCTTCCTCCACCTTCTCCCTCCCTCTCTTCCTTCTCTCCTTTGCAAGCCTTAAATGTCTCCTCCCCAGGGGAAGGTCTTGGTTCCAATCTGGCTGCAAAGAGCCCGCCCCACCCTTAGCAGGCCCCTCCCTTCCTGCCTGGGTCCTGCTGCCTCCAGCCAGGCCACTGGCCAGCTCCAGGTCTGGCCCTGGGTGCCAGGGGCCCGGATATGGGGCCTCCTTTCCCAAGGCACACCTCTCAGAGGCACTTGCTGGGGGCTCCTGGGTGTATGGGGGCGGGGATCTACCACCCAGAGACCTTTGCAGCAGCAAGTGGGGCCCTCACTTTCCTAGGTGGGAGGCTCCCCGTGGGAACCTGGTGGAGGCTTCCGGGGCTGAGCTGGATTTTCAGAGCGGCTGGGGCTGAAGGCCATTTCCTCTCCTGAGGGTGTTTGCTGAAGGCCTGGACTGGTGGGGGTGCAAGGAGTTGAGCCTGAGGGTGTGTGTGCAAGGAGTGGAGCCTGGAAGGGATGAGGCTGGGATGAGGGGGCACGACTCAGGGGTGCGTCTTCAGCATGCATCAGGAGATGCTCAGGGATGAGAAATGGGGGTGCCCCGTGGTACCTGGGGCACTCCGGAAGGGAGGTGGGTGATGGAGTAGTAGAGACCTGGAAGGGATTTATGGGCCCTAGACTAACCTTCCAAGGAGTGGGTCTTTGGGGGTTGTGAAAAGTCTGAGGGCTTTTTAGCTGGAGATGACTTTGGGGGTTACCCAGGACTTCCAGGAGGGGGAGTCCAGAGAGTTGGGGTGGAGAACATAGGATGGAGAAGTGGTTGGTTTTCCTTGGGGGTGGGGTAGGAAGGTGGGGGTCTGGCAGGCCTTGGGGTTTTCCTAAGATGGTCATGTGGCAGGATCTTTTTGAAATCTCTTCCGTTTGAGGGGAAATCCTCTCCGGGCAGAGATTAGGGGGTACCTTTCTCAGGACTGAGTGGTCCGGGCAGAGCCCTAGTACCAAGGTCTGGGCAAAGGTTGGCAAGGTTCTGGGATCCCAACTTGGGGGGGAAGGAGTGTCACAGGTACTGAGCACACAGCTTTGAGCTGGAGGGGCTCTGGGATGATTGGAAGGTGAAGCAGGGATTTCGGGGAGACAGGGTTCAGGGGTTGGGGGGATCTGGGAGTACTTAGGGTCTGCATGGAGCGATTGTTTGGACTTTAAGGAGCTCCCAGGAGGTACTCAGGGCCAAGTACCCTGGGACTCGGGCTCTCAGGTACCTGGGGGAGGGTGATTGGTCTCAGGACGTATTAGGAGAAAGGTTCCACATCGAGGGGGTGGAGGCCCTGGGCACTTAAGAGTCGCAATCTGGGGGGTGGGGGGGAGATCGTTTAGAGTTAGGGGTCCTCCTAGGAGGGTCTCAGTGATGGGTCTGGGAGTCTGAGGAAACCCCCAAAGGGCTCAAGGTCTCGGTCTTGGGGGACACCCTCCCGGCTGAGGGCCCACTACCTGGATGAACTGGATGGTCAGCGCGCTCTTGCCCACGCCGCCGCCGCCCACGACCACCAGCTTGTGGGTCTCGCCGGGCGGGGGGTCCCCGGGTCCCGGTCCCCCGCCCCGGGGCCGCCCCCGCCCTGTCCCGGACGCCGCCCCGCTGCTCATGTCGCCTCGGCCGCTGCTGTTGCTGCTGCTACCGCCTGGGGGGGGGGAACCCAAGAGGGCCTCGGGGGCCGGGTTATGCTAATGAATTATGCATAAACATGAGCCCCGGCTAGAGGAACTCACTTCTTGGGATGCTTCTGGAAGATGCGAGCCCGGGAATGGGCAGGATTATGCTAAGGAGAGCAGGAAAACCGAGCGCGTGAAGAAGGGAAATTCCACGGGGGCGGAGCCATGCTAATGAGGCACACAAGTGCACTCGATGGGCTGAGCTATGTTAATGATCAGCTTCGGGGCGGGGCATGCAAATGAGGTTGCTAGTTCTAAGGCGGTCTGCGAAGCCTGGTCCCGCTAGGTGGGACTCGGGGCGCGTGCTCCAGCCGTAAATAGAGCCCTGCGAGGAAGGCGCAGTCTCCACCTCCGCCCCGGGACCCGGGGTCTGGACTGGAAGTTGAAGTCTCCGCTCGCCTAGGGACTCAGGCTTCCGGTTCCCGCATCCCCAGCCACTCGGAAGACAGACTGGGAGGGGAGCTGGGGCCCTGGAGGGGGACTGCAGGGGAACGGGGCGGGGAGGGCTGTGAGATCACTGCATTCCTGATCCATGAGCCAGCTCACCCTAGTCGGGACGCCCGGGTCAAGAGGGCCTGGGGGCCAGGATTTCTGGAGTTGGAAGAGAAAGCGGATGGCCCTGATACCTGGTCCCAAGGAGTGCATGGGGTGGAGGCTTGGATTTCCGGGTGCTAGAGAGAACGAGGGGAGTCTTTACGATTAGGTTGGTAGAGAAGCGGTGGAGGTGGGGGGGTGTCTAGACTCAAGGGGCCAGGGGCTGGGGAGTCTAGTGTGCTGAATTCTGGGGCGGGGGGCTGCAGGGGAGCGAAACTTACCTTTGTGTATGGCGTGAGCTTGAGGTCATGACGAGCCAGAGGAATGGGAGCCTAGGGTACTTACTACTCGGATCCCAGGAAAGAGGACCGGGATTCCCGAGTACCCGGGAGGAAGCAAATGAGTCTTCACTCCTTCGCTTCTGAGTCAGTGAGGACGCTCTGGTCTGGCTCTTTGTTTCTAAATTTAGAGGGCACTATTGTGAGTTCAAGGCCAGTCTGGACATTTTAGCATAAACCTGTCCCGAAATAAACATTTAAAAGAGGGCTAGAGGTAAGCTCATTGATGGAATGCTTGCCTAGCATGCACGAGGTCTCTGGCTCAACATCCAGTACCTCTAAGATTAAATAAATGAATGTACATTTTAAACTGGTTATGGTAGCGAATGCCTGAAATGCGAGCAATCAAGAGGCGGAGACAGAAAAATAGTCGCAATTGGGGGGCGGGGGTCAGCCTAGTTTATATATGCGATTCCAGGCCAGCCAGGGTTACACAGACCCTTTTTCAAAAACCCACCTTAGGACTTCGCTGAGTTAAAAAAAAAAAAAAAATTAGACGGGATGCGGGGGGGGGGGGG